TTTAAAAGGTGAGGACTTCAGTTCCTATACTCAAAGCGACTCCCAAATAGTGGCAGCGGGGGAGTGCTCTGGGAAACCCTTTCTGAGATACTCAGCGGAACTTTGTTCTCCACATGGGTATTGAGAAGCGTCTGGATTTCCTCGGGTGACTCCACCTTCTCCCTCTCTCTTCTCAAGCCGCCAGCAGTAGTCAAGGGTGGTGATATTCTCCAAGGCGGTCCGGAGCGGCGCTGACCATGGTGCTGGCCTCAGATCTCGCACCGGAGAGCAAAAGGCGCCGGGAAAGATGCAGCCCAAGAGCGCACAGGGTCAAGAAGGGAGAGATGGCCGGATCCCCGACCCTTTACTAACCCAAGAGAACTCGTGGGCCTTCACAAGAACCCCTCCTCTCCACGCTCCAAGCTGCATCAAAAAAGGGTGGGGCACCCAGCCACAGCTGCAATCGGAAGCCGCTCGGGAGGATTTAAGAAGAATGAAACCGGGGCCCACCCCTCTCCATGCGACCCTCAACTGAAGGATACGCCTGTCTTATACCCCTCACCCTCCACCTCCCAGGTTCGGGGTGCTACGGGCATCCTTTGTGGGTGTACAGCCGCCCACTGACGAGCTCTCCGCACCCTGGGCGGAGAAGGGGCGGGGTAGGGTGGGGTGTGTGTGCAGATGCAGAAAGACAGTATTAAAGGAAGAGCAGGAGACAGTGCACCCTCGGATTCTTGGGTCTCCACTGAGCTGGGAGGGGGAGGGCAACTCCCACGCGCCCCGTCCTTGGTTCCCACGGCCCTTCCATACCAACCTGGTCGTAGATGTTCTGCAGGGCTTCCTTGCCCGAGGCCCGCCGGATCTCCACCTTCCGGCCCGATTCAACAGATGGCTCCCCGCCGGCCCGCCGGCCCTGCCGGGAGTACGGCGTCTGCGGGTCAGGGCCCAAGTGGGCGACGTCCCGCTGCTGAGCCACCACCTGCCCTGAGCCCCGGCCCACCGAGAGCGAGTCGAAATCTATGGTCTTGTTCTCCGAGGACCCTTCCACCGGGCAGAACATGCCACAGAATTTCTGCCGGGGCTTGGGGCTGCCTGAGCCTAGGTTTTTAAAAAAGGCAGGGACCTCTTCGTCCTCTGCCTGCTTCCCGGATTGCTTCCTCTCCGCCATGGCGCGTGGGCTAGAGGAAGGGTCCTCTCCGTCCGTCCGTCTGTCTACTAGTCCTTAAGTCTCCCTCTATGTGTGCAAACCCCTTGCCTGCTGCCTTGGCTGCCGCTTTCTGCCTACCGCAAGGTGTACAGAAAGGAAGGAGGGCTTTGGAGCAGGCTGCCCACCCCTCCCGGCCCCTCCCCTCGGCCCTGCTTCCTCCCCTCCCTGCCCACGCCCCCCGCCGCCGCGCGAGCTCGGCCGAGCTGCAAAGTTGGGTCGGGGTGGGCGGCCGCTGCGGCAGCGCGAGCCGAGAGGCAGCCGGTTCCCGGCAGCGCCGGGAGGAGAGGAGGCGCGGGCGGGGCGCGGGGCGGGGCGCGGAGCAGGGGAGGGGCGCGCCGCACCGCCCAGAGCCCCGCGCTCCGGAAGTGAAGACGCCAGACCACCCGCTAATGGCTGCAGAGTGGAGGGCTTGCTGACCGCTCCTGGCGCCAGGGTGAGTAGGGGGGCTGGGTACGTGGAGGCGAGCGCTGGAGCACAGAGTCCCTAGCCCCGCGCGCCCCGTTGCCACCCGAGTGGTCCAGGAATCTCTCCCCCACCCCGCATTGCGGAGTTGGGCCGGGGGTTAAAAGGTGCAGAGGGTAGGGTTTCTCTCTCATCCCCAGAGTATATGAGCTGATGGATGGAGCCAAGGAAACCAGCTGGTTGGCGTCAGGACAGTGGGGTTTGGGGAGCGGTCCCTGGGAATAGAGAAAGGATGGCGCAGGTGGTGCGGAAAACCAGCGCCTCAGTCTACCCAAGGGTCTGGATGGGAACAAAAATTAAAGCGAGAACATCCTTGCTTGGTGCATCCCTAGGGGTGGGAGCGTGCATTATCGCGGGGTAGAGATACCCAGGGAAGTAGCAAATGAGGTGTATGGCGAAAGAGATATAGGAACCCAGGTGACGCAGTAATTAAAACCCTAGATTGCTAACAGAAAGGTAGGTGGTTCGAGCCCACTCCCCCTGTGCTTTCATAAAGTTATAGATCCTTGAAAACCCAGTGGGAAGTTCTACTCCGTTCTGCCCTGTGCGGTGCGGCTGCAGTGGGGTGGTTGTGTTTTTATTTTACAGGCTCATGGTCTATGGGAGTGAGTGAGCAAGAAGAGTTTGCAAATTCATAACGTGACAATTTGTAAAAAGACAGAGGATGTAGATGCGCCTTATTGCCACGGAGGTGCCTCCTGTAATTTCTGCATCCCTACTCTATAAAGGGCCGAGGATAGTGTTTTGATTTGTTCTGTCATCGTTCTTTTCCTAAGGGGAAAGCACAAGGAATAAAGCCCACTCTCTAAATCCCCCATCCCTCTGCCTCGCCCACTCCCCTGTTGCGCACTGCGACATAGCCCAGCCGGCTGGCCAGGCCGGACCAGAAGCCTCCTTTTCGAGCTGGTGGCGTTAGTGCGTATGCCCACTGGAAGACTAGGACCTAGTATGCGTCATCTGGAAGAGTAAAGAAAATTAGGAACAAGGGGGGCCAGAATGTGTGAAAGCATGGTGCGTTCATATGTGTGCTCCAACTGTGACCACCGAGTTGATGGGCAGCCAAATGGCATTTTTTATTTGTGTCATTACTTACTCTCTATGCCCCATCCATTCTGTGTGTCAGTCCCTGGCTGTAATCAAGTGTAGCCCCTCTTCCAGCAGGAAAAATTCTGCAGAAAGCATGCCCTGCCTTTGAAAGCCCACAGGGACATCCGGGCATGCTCAGTAACCTGGGAGGGAGGGTTAGGGCTAAGAGTGGCGATCTCCCGCAGGGCGGTTGTACAGGCAGTGCCGCTCAAGATTCAGTCCCTTTGTCACGCCTAACCCCAGGACAGACTGAGCCCCTCCCATGTGGATGAATATGGTGAATGGATTTAAATTTAGGGGAACAGCTCATCACAGTCTGAAGTTGAAACCATCAAATATTGAAAGGAATCTCTGAATGAAAAGAGAATGAAAATAAACTTGTAGAGCCAGTAAGAGACCTGGAGCTATGAGCTATGCCTTCTGGCTTTAGCTGCAGGTTGACTTCATTTGAATGAAGTACTTTCACGTGAATGACATCAGGTCCAACTCACAGCATTGCTGTTAGATGAATGGACAGGCTTACTGTTCCTATTTTCCAGGTTAACACTGAGAAAGATGTTTTGCCCAGGGTCAACATGTTTCGTTAAATTGATACTACAATCCCACTGGGGGTTCTTCCCCAGGAAAATCTAATTCTTCTTCTTACATATTTTATTGGTTCTGTTTATGTGAGAAACTGCAAGATTTTTAGTCTTCCTATCTTTAAGTAGTCATTCCATTCAGGGCCCTATTGGGTACTAAGGGTGTTTCATTTGCTCTTTTTTTATGAAAGCCATGGGTAGGAATCATGGATCCTTGAGCCTCAGGGGATGAAGGTAAAGTTGCATTTTGTCTTCCTGGTTCCCTGGTAGTCCTGATGCTTCACCACCTTCCAGAAGGACTGAGGAGATGCACCCAGAGCTGGAGCAGCTGCTGTGCCAACTATAGGTTGACATCATGACATGTGGACCTCATTCAGATCAATGAAGATTTGACTGCCAAGGCAAAAATGACTGGAGCACACTACATGTATCCTACCAGCAGTTTTACACTCTCCTGGCCCTCTAGGACAAGCTCAGTAGATGTGCTTCTTTCTTCCTCTAATGGACTATTATTTAAATTCAAATGCAAGAAGAAAATGTGTTGTGTCAATAACTTGGCCAGTCATGAATAAATAACCAGGCGTGACAAAAATGAATGCGTCCATGAGTCCATGGTTATAGTATTTGATTCTCAGATTTTAAATAAATTTTATTATTTCCATATTAAATTGCTCTTAAATATTTGACAATTCCCATTTGTTTTTATTAAGTTTTTAATCAAAAGCAACCCAATAGCTATTTAGTAGATCTGTTCAATTGCAAAAGATTATTTTTAAACTTTTAATATTTTTAGTAAGTATACCAAAAATCTTCTTCATTGGATATTACTGAGTCTTAAAAACACTATTATTATTATTATTGTTGTTATTATTATTATTATTTGTGTTTTAGGACATATTGGCTTGGCTGGAGCTTAGACTCAGAAATACCATTGTATGAAGTTGGGTGACCCTTTCTCCTGCTAGAAGCTGAATAAATTGAATCCTATGGAACATTCTGGAACATATAAGCAGGTATCTAGCCACATGCCTTGATTTTATGTTTCATATGAGAGGGATCTTGCATCTTGTCCACAGTTGACTTTAGACATTGACATAATAAATGTTGGGGAAGTTGGATTATGGTTGGTCTCAAAGAGAACCATCCCTATATTAAGATCTGACAGTGGGTTTGTCATGGGAACAGTGGAAGGCAAAACTCCAATTCTACACTCATATCCATCCCAAACTAGAATATGCTTCCTAGGAAGAAAATGACTATATGGTAAAACTGAAAATTGTTTCACTAGGAGATTTCTCATCAGGAGTTCCCACTACCAGCGTGGAAAGGGTTTGACCACTGACTAGAGAGGGGAATTGTCGGAGACCAGAAGACAGTGGTGAAAGCAGCTGTTCCAGGTCCCCCAGTGATCGGAGAAGACAGCCAGCATTCCTGAGAGAAACAGCAGCAAGAGAACTGTGAGACATAACTTACTCACCTTGGGTTTCTTTTCCAGAACCATTACATTCTTGCCCCTTGGGTTATTGGTCCAGAAGACAGAGACTACCTAGAAGTCTAGGACACATTCCCTTGATTATCTAGGACCCCTGGGAACTCTAAGGCAGTGCATATCTGCACCACACACATACCCCACACCACACACTCACTAGTACACTTGGAGTTAGAGCTCATACGTATTCAGGACAATGGCATTGGCACTGCTAGAGGACTGGTGCGGGATAATGAGTGTGGATACTCAGAAGTCACTGATGGTTATGGGAATCCCAGTGGATTGTGAGGAGGCTGAGATTCATGAGGTTCTTCAGGAGAATCTGAAGTCCCTGGGCAGTTACAGAATCCTTGGCAAAATATTCCGCAAACAGGATGATGCCTATGCCATCTTAATAGAGCTGATGGAGGATCTAGATATCTCAGCAGTCCCCAGTGAGGTGCAGGGAAGGGGTGGCATGTGGAAAGTGGTCTTTAAAGCCCCTAACCAGGACACCGAATTTCTTGAAAGACTGAACCTCTTTTTAGAAAATGAGGGGCAGACGTTAACAAGTATGTTCCGAGTCCTTGGACATGAGGGAGTGTCGACAGCCACTGTCCCCTGTATATCCCCAGAGTTACTGGCTACTTTGGTGGGACAGGCAATAGCACATGCACCTCAGCCACTGCTGCCCATGAGATACCGGAAACTGAGAATTTTCTCAGGCAGTGCTGTTCCTGCCCCAGAGGAAGAGCCCTTTGAAGTCTGGTTGGAACAAGCCAACGAGATAGTCAAAGAGTGGCCAGTAGCTGAGGCAGAAAAGAAGAGGTGGTTGATGGAAAGCCTGCGTGGCCCTGCCCTAGACCTCATGCACATAGTCCAGGCAGACAATGAGGCCATAAGCGTGGAAGAGTGTTTGGAGGCATTTAAACAAGTGTTTGGAAGCCTGGAGAGCCGCAGGACCTCACAGGTTAAGTATCTGAAGACCTATCAGGAGGAAGGCGAGAAAGTCTCTGCCTATGTGTTACGGTTAGAAACCTTGCTCCGGAAAGCTGTAGAGAAGCGTGCCATTCCTAGAAATATCGCAGACCAGGTGCGCCTGGAACAAGTCATGGCAGGGGCGAGCCTTAGTGAAATACTGTGGTGTCGGCTCAGAGAGCTGAAGGATCAGGGACCGCCTCCCTGCTTCCTTGACCTAATGAAGGTAATACGAGAAGAAGAGGAGGAAGAGGCCTCTTTTGAACATGAGAATCTTGAGGATCCAGATGAAGGGGAAACCTTTGGCCACTGGGTTAATCCCGGCAACCCCTAAAGTCCAGTTTGGAGTAGGATTATGGTAGAAGGCTTAAAGACACTTTTTACTGGGACAAGATCTTTGTTTTTTTCTTTATTTTCTTGAATGAAAATCAAGATATTCCATCCAAGTCTTAACTCTGCTAAGAGAACAAATAACTGAATGGTTTTTGGCCCCTTCATAGATCATTAATAACAGAAGATAACATTCCAATTAGATCATAAGCTGAAAGGAATCTGAAACGCCAGTACTTCAAGTTTCCTAGAAACATCCAAATTTATCATAAACAGACATAAAAGGAAGACATAATTGACACACAGAAAATATTTTTGTGCAAAATATTTAAAAATCTTAACATCTTTTACTCCTCAAGTCTTTTCTCCAGGCAGCAGATTTCTTTCTGAGTATCTAGCATTGTGAAGCACTTTATAAGGAGGCCTAAGAGTCATAGCCTCCTGGACGTGGGCCACGCCCTCAGGGAGTTTACAGGCTAGTGGAGCAAATGGCCTAGATAAGTGAAAATGTAATAACCATAGATATAAATAAGCCCACAGCGCCAATAAAACTCTTATCACCAAATACATACTACCTTCTCAGCCTTTAGATTTCTTTCTTCTCCTTACATGGGAAGCTCATCTTCCCCTTCTCTGCGAGATATCAGGATACTTGGTCACAGGACTGGACCTCGGATTAGAATCTGAAGACACAGGACCCTACCTAGGCCCCCTCCTTCAAGAGTACAGTCAGTGTGGTGTCCATAAAGAATGGGCAAAAAGCCAAGGAAAATAAGCAGGAAAGGGAGAGTGCAGGGTGTGTTTGCATTTAGTGAGCAGGTTAAAGAGGAAGGCTTTTGATTGATACAAAGGGCAAGAGGAGAGGAAGGAAACTCACATTTATTGAGGGCCTACTATGTGCTGGTGTTTTACGCATGTCTCATGTAATATGTATAACAGCCCTGATGTATCATTTTTGCAGTTTTGGAAAAATCAGAAACAAGTTCAGACGATTAAGTAGGTTTCTCAGTGTTAAAAATGTAAGAGAAGCCAATACTTCCTGATTTATGTTAATCCACTCTCCAGTTTGTGCTGCTCACATTGTGTTTGGCAGCGTGGAATCCCCTCCTCAACTAGTTCCATATTTAAAATTCATTTTCAATCTTGAAATCCACAGTGACTAACAGGTAGACCTAAAATTGTTTAAAACAAAATTATAGCATGGTTTATTATAATTCCCTTTTCTTTCCAAGTTAACCTGTTTTTTTTCTGTAACCCAACCTGGGAACCAAGCTGCTTGTGTGGTATCTGAGCACATATTTGAGCCTCTTTTCATTGCTCATGCGTCAGGAAGCTATAGCACTGCATGTGGGTTTAAATCCGGCCCATGTGTTTTGTGATGTGAAATGTACTAACATCATTGAGCACCAGTCCATTGAGTTCCAGGCACAGCTCTTTTACACTGCTGATGATAACTGTCAAGGTAGTGTTCTGTGTACGAAAGAAACCAAACTTCTCTAAGCATCGGTTTCCTCATCTGAAGAATGAATAGGATTGTTGTGAGGATCAGATGACTTAATGCCTTTTAAGCACTTTGCAGATCTCCAGAACACAGAAATCCCTCAGTAAGTTGAGAGTCATTCTTTTCATGAGACTTATGTATCTGTTCAACGCATGCCTTCTTTAGTGTATCTCACAGTAAGATAAATATGTATTCTGTCAACTTGTAATCACATTGCATTAAGAGACCACTTTAAATGCTTTTACTGTATGTTTGAGTGCTTATTGTGTTTGGTATTTATGATCAGTATTCAGACAGCTGTTAACCACTGTTAGTGATTTGACTTTGAAACAGTAATTTATTTTTTTCTGTCTGTGGATCATTTTAACTAAAGAAAGAAAAACTTTTTTTTTAAGATACCATTTGTGATTATCTAATTTGTACATTTCCTCAGTACTATTGAACCAAAGTGATATAATTGTCCTTAATTATTACCTGGCTTCATGTGTTTTTGTATTTATGAAAATGGCCTCATTGTTTTCATTACCAAAAGTATAGAAAGTAAATGTTATAAATGAGAAATGATAAAATAAATATATGCTAATATAATGCTACATCTTTTCTGTTTCATGTGTTACGGTTCTCTAAGCTATTACTTGAAGAAGGAGTTTCATTCTACAAGTTTTTGAGAGTCAAATAGAGAAAATCAAGCCAAATCCAAAAGTCTTGGACCCCTCTGGACAAGAGTAATTGAGAGCAAAATGTTAGGATAAGAATGTGTGGGCTGTGTCTCCAGGGATAAAGGAGCACTTAGTTCACTCATCATTGATTTCCTTTTTAAAGTACACAGAAAAGCCACAGATGGAGACCGATTGCCTCAGAGACCAGCAACTCATTTCCTTAGAAAAGTAATTGTTCAGATAAAGTCAGCAGCCTCTATTCAGCCAAGGGTGAAATGACCTTACCAGGGAAGTCTGTGTTCTTGGATTGTATTCTTTTTTTACAATACAGATGTGTAAATAAAAACTATTCTTTGTGCCATTCTTCCTTTTGACATTTCTTCTCTGCTTCCTCTTTGGGCCACAGGCACCTCTATCTGTTAAAAAATGTGGGCCCTAGAAAATTCTTCATAACATTTCCCAATCATTTAAGAAAAAAAAACCTACCCAACCTCTCAGGAGATTGATTTCACCTTATGCTTTGACTCCAGTCTTGACCCACAGAAATGAGCCTCTAACAGTAGGTGAACCACTTTTGAATAGAGCTTTTCACCAGGGTCTCTTAACGCAGAGTAAGGGGTATAAATTGCCAACTAGATCATTGGCTTCCTGCATCTTCAGGCTTTGAGTATGAGTTGTATTTCCCGCTGGACCAGCAGCAAGCCATGCCATGTTTCATCCTTTTGCCTTCTGCTGTTCATCCTAAATGCTAGACTCAGATCATCAGTTTTCTTCCCTAGTCTTATTTCTACACTGTGCAGTCCTTCTCCAATGCAGATCTTTCTTGACATCTTCTAGACATGGATTTGGAGTTCCCATGAAACAAGCAAATTAGCTTCTACTACCGATGTCTTTCTCTGCCACCATATTCCCTTAGTTGAAATCTGCTTTTCCAGGTATTTTGCTCCCTTTGAAGCACCTTGAGTGGAAGCACTCCGTCTTCTCCACCTCAGGAGAGATTGGAAAGTAGGATAGCAATTATGTTTGTTCTCTCTCATTACTTCCCTATTTTCAAATGTATTGGCTCTCTCCTGGCATATCTTCTGTTCTTCCCCATCCTTAGCCCACCCACCGCTGTGCATTGAGTGGCCTAAGGAGTCTGAGCAGGTTAATGGTAAAGCAAACCAGTCCAGCAAGAGTCCATTTGGGACTAAACCTATCTGGGAGTTAAAGTTACAGTGGGAGGAAAAAAAGATAATCACTTTAAGCCCAGCTTAAGGGAATCCTTCAAGTCAAGACTGGAAAAGCAAAGAGGATTAAAAGTTAGAGTATTTAAATTAAGTTATGCTCATTTAGAAGCAGTCCATAGTTAGCCATCCAGTGGGTTTTCAGAAACAGTAAGATAATCTTTTTTAAAAAAACCCAGAATGTTTAAGGAGGATCCTGAAATGAAACATGAACTAAGGAGAAAACCTTCAGTGAGATGAATGGACACAGTGACTGCAGCAGTGGGCTTGAGTGTGTGTGAGAGACGAAGATGGCACAGGAGAGGACAGAGTTCAGATCTGTTATTCATAGGGTCACTATGAGTCATGTTTGACTCTATGCACCTAACATCAAGGAGTACTGTAAAAAAATGTTTAAATTTGGCTTGGCTTGATACGCAGCATAAGCTTTGAATGATTTAAAGGCACAAGGTCAAGGCAGACATCCCTTTCCTGTCAGTATGTTAGATACTCCTTGAATTTGCACAGAGAAGACGTGTACACCAAGTAGCTCTTAGAGTGAAAGATGGTCCCCACAGATGGGCTTCTGAGAAGCTAACCTTCCCACTGTACGAGGCCTGGAACTACCCTTGTCCATACATGCATCAAAACTTCCATGCTATGTCCAGTGCTTCTGACATCCCAGATGGACATTTTCTTAAACTAGAGTAATTCCAGAAGTGTGTTCCCAAATCAATTTTATCATAAGATGAAAGGTATAGGATTTCAGTCTTGCTTACAGGGCACCAGCTGTAGCTGACCATTAATTGTTTGGGCTGAATTAAGCAGCAGCTGAGGCTTTGTTCTGTCTTAGCCCCCCTTAAAGGAAAATATCACCAAAGGGGGCGGAGCTACCTTACCAGGCAGTGGTGATGAGATTGGCAGTCACTACTGGTCCCAGGAACTGTAAGGAAAGCTAATCGCTGATCTCTGTGCATGCAATCACAGAGATCCTGTTCTATGTACTCTAGAGGTGGTCCCCAGTGAGGGCCTTTCCTGGGTTCTTGGCACAATAGCTTAAAAAAAAAAACCCAACCACTAAAATAATACTTTCTTATTATAACAAGCTGTTAACGTCACAAAAGAAACTTTTTTTTTTAAAGAAACTTTTATATTGTGAACAAATGTAAGGAAGACAGTGGAACCTAGATTGTCATAGCTGTCTTGTGATTGGCTGTCATATTTCACTGTCTGGTACCATCCCCTATGTGGGTCTCAGCCCTTCATAACAGTTACTGAGCTTTGGGACCCTGCTCTGCCAAAAAATGGGCAAGTAGAAATTGAAGACACTCTAAATAGAAAGCTGCTGTATTCATCTAAGGCAAAGTACAAACGGGTCAAGGCATTCTCAAGTGACAAGATAATAAAAGGATGAGGCAGAGGAGACATAGAAAGTCAAATTGATGTAGAAAGAGAAGATAGTTGAAAGCCAAGTCAATGGATTTCATATTTCTTTTTTTTATTAATATTTTTTTATTGGGAAAAACATTGGGGGTGCAAGGAGGTGAGGGTTGGGGGCAGAAGGGTGAGGATGGGCCAGGATGCAGTTGCAGAGCTGCAC